TGGTATTCAGTTTTTTGTTGAGCTAATGCGTTCTGAATTGCTTTTTGCATATCTTCTAAAGATATTCCTTGCTGTTGCAGGGCTGGAACAGGTGAAGGTTCATATATTTGCCGAGATGCTCGATTAGAATTTATTGGGTCTGACATACCATCTCTTTTATATCTAGCAATTCGGCGTAATTCTATCTCATAAAGCTTTTTAGCTAATTCATCCAATGGCAAATGTTCACCAATATCTTCAGCTTTTTCAAGCCATGAGAGTGGAAGGGCATCTAAGAATTTTCTACGTAATTCTTCAGGCCTATAGTTAGCTTGTCTACCTATTCGTAATATTTTTCTATATAGTTCATCTATAGTCATATTTTCTTTTCTGATTGTTCCATACATCAGATCCCGAAGCTCCTCTTTTACTGTAGGGAAATGAGTTTTTAGCCACTATACGGCTTGACCAAAACGAATTCCGGCTATGACTACAGTATTACCAGCATTAGCATTTGGCGCATTTGATGCATTATTAGTAGGACGACCACCTGCTCTTCATCCCAAGGACCTTCTACAGCTCTTAACTTAACTATTGCATTTCCAGGTTGATTAAGGGCCTGCCTCATTTATTCCATTAGCTCCTATCTGAATAGCTGTACGTCCATTTACAGCTACTAAGTTAGCTTGCCCTGTATTATAAAGTAAGTTTGCTAATTCCCAATTTTGCTTTGTAGTAATCTCATCATCGAACCATTCTAAAGTTCTTCCTCTCATACAGCCTCTTAAATATCCTATTGCCTGATCTCTTCCTGTTGGTGGACCTCCTGCATTATCTGCTAGATCTACACCTTGGTTTGCAAGTATAATCTAAGTTTCACAAGAAAATCAAGGATATCATCACTCCAGTCAAAAAATGGTTGCGGTATTCCTGCCATATTTACTTGATTAGGTGGATTATTCTGTAACGCTAAAATTTGTCCCTGCAAATTTAAAATATTTTGGCGAGAATTTTTTTCTTTAGCCTTTCATTTCTCATATCGCTCATAGAGCCTGTCTCGATTATATTCTAATAAACCTATGTCTCCTCTACTTCGTTGCAGGTGGTAGGCATTTCACTGATACAATAATTATAAGGCAAATTTTTCTTGTACTAGCACACCTATACGGTTTTGCTTTCTTGTCATCCTATCTAACATTCTGTTAACCTGATTTCGGCCATTGGTTTGCAACTGATAAAGGTCAGCAATAGCCCTTTGTTCCACCCCTTCAGCAAGTTGCCTTCGTATAATTTCATTATCACTTTCTGCTTCAGCATCATAACGCCTTCGTTGCTCACGGACTAAATCCTGATGCAAATTATTCTCTTTTCGGCGAATTTGCCTTGTTGCCCTTTTTATTTGATCTATCAGAATATCTCTAGCCGTTGCCCTATTATCCACATAGCCATCTATAGCATTTGCTAGCTCCGTAATTGTGGCCATATTATTATCGGAATTATACAAGTCTGGAGAATTCCCTCGTTCAGGGGAATTTTTTCGTGATGAGATGCTTCTGATCCGACATCGCAATTTCTTAACTTGTTCCTCAGATTCTACTAACTGCTCTTCTAAACTAGAAATATATTTTCCCTTATCTCGCACATCTTTCCTAGCTTGATATAGCTGACTTTTTAGGGTAGAGATTTCAGATTTTAACTCTACTATCGCTTTTTTCGAAGCATTTTCAAGGCGCTCTATCTTCCTATTGAGATCTTGAATTTCTTGCTCACACCGGGAATAATCTCACTCCAGCTGATTAATTCGTCTCTCATTCTGACGATTAATATCCACTTCTGTCTGTAATTCACTACGAAGATGATAATTCTCCTCCTCCAACTCAGCTTTATGTTCTTTACATGTTCTTCTTTGCCTTGGATGAGGCCTCTGAAATGCCATTCTTTTTTCGTGATTATATAGAAAGATGGGAGAACCGGTTATTTATATAGATTCTCAAAAAGCGCATGATCTTGGCTAGGATCTTACTTTGCAGAAGTACAAGGAAAAAAAGTACCCCAACTAATGAGAAGAATCCTCCCCCAAAGCTATTGATGAAGTGAGACGAAATGTATATTTTTTCCGGGCTTCAAGGTCATATTCAGACTCGTTACGCCTCTTTACCCATAATTTCCTTTCATAAGTGCTGGAATATATTTCCGGTTCTATATTTATATCACTATATCTTGTGTAAGAAGAGATCTTATCAGCAAGAGCGATGATTTTCCTATCCTTAGCAAAAATAATATCCTCCAGATGCTGGCATTTATTCTCTAACATGTCAATGGACTTTTCTGCTGATGCAATAGCTTTCTTTGTATCAGAAATTATACTCTTGAAAAAAGCTACTAAATCTGATAATTGGCTGACTTTCCTGCCACTCTCCTCCAAAGACCTGATTATGGTTACCTCGCAAGACTTATACTGCTCTTGCAAATCGAGAAGCTCTTCAATCTTTTTTTCCAATACCTGCTTTGATATATACAATTCCTTATTTTCTTGCTTTAACGAAGTTTCACAATCGCTAGTAATAGGCTCAGTCCCCTTCATCTTCTAATGCTCCTTTTTCTTAATATAATTTCCAACTGCTTTATTTAACAAATCTTCCACTTCGGGGTGAATACTACTTACCTGTTCCAGCGATAACAGATATTTTCAAGATATAAGGCGTCGCCATATATCTATTTTGATAGATCGAGAAAGCTGGTTAAGTTGCTTCGAATAATATATGTGGAAAGATGGTGTTAGTATGCCAGTCATTTCTTATAAATAATAAAAAAATTACGAGAATTTAAGAATTCTGAGAAATTTACGCGTCCAATATCACAGATTGTGTCATATCAGATAGGGATCTGCTAGAAATCTCCGCATTATGATTGGCAAAAAATTCACGTGATTTTGGTAGGGGTGTCCCAGCTGAAATTTATCAGATCACGTCTTTCGTAATACAGATAATAAGTTTTTAACCATTTCGTTTTGCAATTCCTTATCTTCCAATTTCGCAATTCTGGCCTTAAGCTCAGCATTCCTGGCTTCAATCTCAGCAAACTTCTTTCTAAGTTCAGCATTTTCGACCTCAAGCCTGGCAATGCATATTTTCAATGAATCGGTCTCATCTATTTCGGATTGCATACTAGCATAGTGTAGTATTATTTATGCTTTATATTCAAAAATAAAAATTCACGTGCTATCCTGACCAATGGTCAGCAACTTTTGTCAAGAAAAATTTTTATTAGTTCACGAACATATATTTGTGAAATAGACCACCAGGATCAGTTTTATTATAATACAAATAATAATAGTACATCTATGGTCGAAGATGCTAAAGCTAAAGAATAGGCTCATCTATAATTTTGCAATACTTGCCACTGCTATACCGAAACTTAGCACTCATCGAACATTTTTAAAGTTCCTGTTATGCCAGAAATAGACGATATTTAATCCCTTCTATTGGAGCTTCTCAGATGGCCAGTACGGATTGGTTACAATATAATCTTTACGGGAGAAGTGTACGATCCAGATCTCTCAAGGATGAAGTTGCTCTTCATACTTAAATACTTGTTCAAAATGGCCATTTAGCTTTGGAATTGATGCCGTTGCCAATAGTTCGAGAAGAGCTTCCAGATGGGGACTATCAGGCTTCTTTATAGTTAGATCGCAATAAAGGTGATGGTAGTCTCCATCATCACAAACTTGTTCGAGATGCCACTGGCCAGTGATCTCATATCTATGGATCTTTCTTAACCAATTCACTAGGACCCGGTACATTTCTGCATCGTATGTACTTTCTCTTGGAACTTTGATATAATGCTCGGAATTCACATACAAATGATTGGAACTCTTGTATGAGCGGGAGGATCCTAGTGCTATTATGCCTTGGTCAAAATCACGTACTGCGGTCTTTAAAATCTCCAAAATATCTACAGAACCATCATTCCAAAATGGAATATCTGTAGAAATATCTAATACTTTGCCGATACTTCGTTTCTTAGTAACGGGAGTAGAGAAAACTGACGAATCTGATTTTGGAGGGGCTGGTTTCTCTATTATCTCTTCTTGCTGATTTGAAATATCGGCTAAAGGTTTGCGACCTTTTTTTTCATTGACCTATATAAAAAATAGATTGACAAAGCCCCTCAGTAATAAGTATCATCATTGGGATAATGAAATAAGAAATGAAAATATTTTAGAATGGTGATACTAGAAGTAATGACCATAGGTCCTAAAAAGACCGGCCTAAACACGGAATATTATCCAGTATACTTTTATCAAAAGGAAGATACATAACCGAATCCTCCTCCAGAAACAGTAGACCTTTGTCAAAAAGTATCGCTAAATAATCTCACTACATCTATCAGAATGAATATGCTAAAGCACTGCAATAACCGAGGACTTATATATCCCCAAGCGAAAGCTTCTTGTGTTTAACATGCCATATCTAAAAAATGCGTGTTTGGGCTTGCAAAATAGAAACACATACCTTTTTCTTAAGTAAGAGATTTCTAACAACTTCGTGAATCTCCTGCGAGGCCATCGGATCATCACGGAAAATATATGGTATTGTAAAATACCATATGTGCCTCATTTCTTTCGGTAAGCCCAAACATATTAGTTGACCAGAATATGAAATGCTGAAGAGACCATATTTTACATGGAAAGAGCCAAAAGTATTCGATTTTGCCTTTTTCAGAGGCTCTTGATTTCTCTCTAAATATCTTAGCTTATTTTTCAAGCTTCATGGCAGGTCCCCGTTTCATACCATCCTTCATAAACTTTTTTTCGGTCATGTCTGGAAAGATCTGACCATCTATTTTCTCTCTACGAAGGATCTTGAAATCGTCCTCATCGAGATTTATGTTCAGGTCGCGTAAGAAATTAATGAGGTCTCAGTGTCCCAGTATTTGGCTAACGTGGAGCAGTTTGAAAAAGTTGTAGAAGTGGATATGTTTTATTAGCTTGTTAGAAGTAGAAAACCCAAAAATAGCCGTTAAGACGCTTCGCAAGAAATACGTATAATGAACTTACCATCTATGATATATGGCCTTTTTATAAATAAGAAGAGACGCGCTAGAGTTTGTTTTTTAGCAAGAGACGCGTATACTTATGTTTTGTAACAATGCAAATTGGCATATTACTATTTTAGTATGATTAGCATTATGTTATTCAGGAGCTAATCTAGAACAGGCAGATCATAATCTTTATTCTGCATAAACCTGCAGGTGGTACATTTCACTAGATGGATCAAAATTTATGTCGCACATGCCTACATGACAATATATTATTATTTTATTAAAACAATATTCGGGATCTGGGTTAAGGACTAATCTGGAAAATTTGGCGCACAAGTTCACAATTATTATCCATATCTAATAAATCTACAATAGTCGGATTATACAGCTAGATAAGAGCTGGGAACTTCATCCTAGAGTCACATGCGCCTAGCTCTTTACACCTATATTTCTTATATTCTGAAATTCTGACGAAATTTTTAGAGTTAGATTTCTTATCAATATGGTAGTATTCAGGATTCCGTGGCCATTTTGACATGTCAGTCCATTTCACCTCCCATATCGAACCTCTAATGACTATATAGCCTTGCTGATATAATAATTTCAAAGAGAGTATGAATGCTATATTTGTTAATCTTAAACGTAACTGGACTTCTTTTTCCGATATCAACTCCAAATCATTTGATCCAAAACCCCAATATTCGCGAGGAGGAATTCTCCTTAAAAACTTCATATCGTCAGAAGTACTATCATTCTTCACCACCTCCTAAACCTGTTTTGCCAAAGATTTGGGCCTCTTCTTGTAATTCCTGTAAGCTCGCTGGATAACTACTGTATAGAAATTCTCAAACTTATAGTTATATTGTTTTGCAATCAAGAATCCCCAAGACCGCTTCATAGATCTTTCTGAAATACTTCACTAAAATAGTTATATATTAGAGGATCTAACCCAGAATAGGCAGATCGCAATATTTTACCTACCCTGCATAAATCTGCAGGTAGTACATTTTACTAGATAGATCAAAAATTTATGCTCATGTCTACATGCATTGTGGCTGGACAATATATTATTATTTTATTAAGATGAAATACCGAAAAAAAGCTTAATACATTTCCTATATAGAAGAACTATTTTTTGATTTATATACCATTTTAACCATATTCTAACATTTATAGATGTTACAGATGATACATTTCATACATAACACCTTCAGCCAATTTCACTACTAGAGGTGTAAGAATTTATTCTCTGGCACGTTCACAGATTCTTTTTACATCCAATGGATTAGCCTAATATTCTGTAACTCTAATAAGATATTCAATGTTATCTTTATCAATATGATAATATTCAGGATTCTGTAGCTACTTTAGCTGGTTAGACCAATCCGAACCTCTAACGACTTTATAGCCTCGCTAGTATAATATTTTAAAAATAATATCATATGTTACATTAGCTAATCTCACATATAATTGATTTTTCTTCTCAAATATCCAGTCAATATAATTTACATAAGCATCACGAAGAGTTATACCTAAATACTTCTTATTATCAAGAGTACCATTATTTCTCACTGTCTCCCAAATTATTTTTGCCAACGATTTGGGTCTCATACTGTAACTCTGCTAAGCCTGTTGGATAAGTTTAGCACTATTAAATAAGCGATATGCAACAGTTTTTCTACCTTCATGTGAATAATCATAACTATAATGATTCAAGCCTTTACTGTACATAACCCAATATGTTTGATAAATCTTTTCAATTTCATCAGAACTGAGCGATACCACTCTCTTTTGGCTTGATGCGGTCCCTCTGTCCTGAGCGCCTTTGGCAGGACTTACTCCTCCTTTTTTCATATTCTTTCGTATAGGATTAGAATACATTTTAGCGGTTTTAGTAATACATTTATTTAGGTGATCATTTGCGCACTCTATGGTATTTTCACGAATAAATACTAAGGAGTTGCATACAGTGCAATAAATATGAAATAAGCATTCTCCATCTTTAAATTCCCCATCTTTATATGATCTTTCAATCATTTGAATAAATCCATTCTTTTTTTTTTTTTTTTGTTCAAAATCGATGTTTATTTAATGTCAAGAACTATATACATACAAGTACATACATAAAACTAACTAAAAACAAACTGCCTCCGCGCATCTTTAAAGGTTACGTGAGACTGACCTGATTTGATAAACCCTCCAATTCTAAGGCCGATTAAAGTATTAAGAATTAACACCTCAGAATTGATGACGATGCTACATCTAATCATGAGAGTCTATGCATATACAATTAAAACCTAAAGCAAAACTAAAAGCTAAAACCATATATATAAAATGAACAATAAAATAATAAAAGATAGAAACATAATAAGATCCCGGGTGCCTTTTAAACCCCCGAACTGGATCACGGTATTAATCGTGTCGTCTTGAAACTCTAACTGACTTTCCAAGGTGGGGGTCGAACCCACAAGCCATATAGGCCAGTCCCACAGAATCTGAAACGCGTCAGCGGTATCACCCAGGGGCCACCCCTGAGGTAGTGCAATACAGGGGGCCAAAAAATGGGTTGGAAACTTGGTAAAAGCATATTTTTACGCTATTATTACCGGTGGTATGTCATATGACAATGACGGTGTTTGTTGTTACGATGATCGTCCAAAAAGGAAATATGATAGAGTCAAAATTCATTGGTGCTCAGTGGCGGATTGATGCATCGGATGATCGCCCAAATAGGAAAATTCCAAGAACCAATCAGGAGTGCTGAGAGGAAATTCCCACACAGAGCGAAGGAAAAAACTTCAAAGGAATGTAAAAACTTGGCAGGTTGACAACATAATATACACTCTCTGTTAATAAACTACAAGGAACAACTTATTCAGAATACCGTATACCCGAAGTGGCACCTCTGCGGTGTGTCCCCCACTTCAAGCTCACCGCATATTTCAGACGTCGAACCAAGTATCGAAAAAAAGATAGAAAACATAAAGTTCGCAACAAAAAGGTGTAAGACCCAAGTAGCAACTCCTCAAAATACCGTATACTCTGGGTGTGGGGCAACTCTTGACCCCGGCGCCCAACAGCTCACCGCATATTTCAAGAAGAAACTAGATGGAACCATTAAGATAGACTTCGTTTACTAGTATTTGCTGCGGAGTTTGTTCACTTTGAACCTTTGAATAAATCCATTCTTGGAGAAGTATTTTGGGTTATATTCAAGAAGTTTCTTAAATGGATAACAAACACGAGAACACCACATTTCTGGTGTTTCACCACTATACCTATATTGTAGATTGTTTAATGCCTGCACTACTACAGGATTTAAACCAGAATAGTTGTTAGATTTAACCATTTTACGGATATAGGGATTTTATAGTGAATTTAACGATTTATAGCGTTTTTAGTAATTTATAGCAGTTTGTAACAAGTACTGTATATTATAATAAAATATTGGATTCATTTTTTGTGCTAGAGCGAAGGAAAAAAATGTTACATACTGTATAAAAAATTTTCTGTAGCGCTTTATTTCATGACATTCAATAAATAAATAACACCACCCGCATACAGTATACAGTACACTGGTTAAAAAATCATGAGCCCAATGTGGGTAAACAATAGATGCTTTATTGATATAATTCCATTTTTGTAACGCAAGAATATTAAAGCAGAAACAAGTCATGTGAATTTTGGTCAATAAAAAATTTATTATATAAACGCAATGAGATAACAGACAAACTTCAATAGCAAATATCATTCAGTAGTTGCAATCGTTAAAAAATTACTCATATTATCATTATTTGCGACACTTTTAATAAGAGTATCCTGACGGTGAGGGTGAAGGCGGATCATCATAATCAGAATCATTGTAATCATGATACATGAGTGGATTTATGAAACGTGAGTCTTTTCCTGTGGGTTTTTTTGGTGAACTCTTCGCATCACCTATATGACTCTTCAATATTGAAGACTGAGAATGTAAAACTGAATTCCGGCGATGTGATTTTTTGAGTTCCTCAAGTATCTTGAGGGTATCATCTAATCCCCTCTAAGCAAAAAAGATAATTATTAGAATAAAATGTTTCAATACCAGATACTAATTTAATTCAAAGAATTGCTTACTCCAAGATTTCGCAAAATCCTAAGTGCATTCGCCAATTCATGATGGTCTTCCCAACTAATTGGGAGCCGAAAAGCACCAATGAGAAACATTCGGTAGGATTTTGAAACGGGTAAATCCATACCCCAAATTTGCACCTCAAGTCCTATATACAAAGATAATTTATTTAACAAGAAAAAAAATAAAGACTCAGCTTATATATTAACTTACCATGTATATGGAAAAACCACGAGCGTAAACGTCTAAAAATTTTGTAGTCACCGCGATTATATTTTCTAACTATGTCATTTAGAAGATCGCGACAGCCCCAATATCCTTTCACATGATCTTTTAAGTATCTTGGCAAATCCGAGGTTAAGTAACCACCAGACAGTTCCACCATGCCTATCTCAAGGCCTTCTTCACCGGGGGAATGAAATGAACCGTCTACTTTCATACCTAGAGGCTTGTCATCGTCAGGTTTTAGATTACGTCGTAATAATCTCTGATTTGCATTAGCCTTTAGATAAATTTCGCCTCTATTTTGAAAAAGAGATAATCACATTTTTAATACTGTAAAGAAGAACGAAATATTAATTTGGTGTTTGATTCAAAAAACGTACGGCACATATATAACGCGGTCAGTTGTGTTAGTAAGGTACTGCAACATTGGATGAATCATTAGTGAACCCAGGAGTGCTTCATTTTTATTTTTGCCATGGAAAGCCGACGCAGGGTTAAATACATTTTTCGTGCTTCAAATTAAATTTGTTAATTAAATAGTGAAATAAAAAAAAAATAAACAGTACTATTTTTGCAGAAATCTATACTCACAACCATAAAAAGACATCCGTTACAAATTCCATTTCCTTATCGATCTCATTTTTAAACTTGGCTTTACAAACACATTGCTTATACTCCGTTATCGAGTTCTATTGTTAGTTAGCAAATGTAAATAACATTATCATTAAAGATAAAGATTAATTTGTACTTACAGTCTCTAATAATTCTTTAACGAGGTTTTCTACATTAGAAGTCAGTTTATAATTCGGATATTCAATGCTAGTTTGTAAATAATTCCAATCTTTTTGTTCAATCCACTCTGGTTTACGAACCTTTGAACCAATACGTATGATACCAAGAAATGATGGGCTACATATAAATGCAAAAATTAATATGTTGGATCAAGACATGAAGAAAAGAAACGAAGATTATAAAAACTTACTGTGATTTATGCAGATTTCCAGGTCCACGAATTACTTCATCAATCGGTTTTCCAGAAGGCAATAACCAAATATTATCTGGACTGTCTTGATCAGGGTACTTTGAGTGATTTTGTACAGGTATTTGTTGCTCCAATAAGTCGGACTCAATGTTTGGATCTATATCATGATTATAATCTATTTCATCATCTGTTGAATTTTCATTGTTAGTAATAGGCTGAAATTTTTCAAGATCAGCCTCAAGTTGTTCGTCGAGATCTTGTGGTTGAGAATAGATCCGATCTTTAAGGTCCGAGATCGAACGAGTCCGCGAGAAAAAGTTCCGAATATCTGGTCCTTCCATTGAACTTCCACTAGAAAGGGTCTTCTAAAATTTGAAAATCAATGTTCATAAATAAATCATGATGTTGCATTTCATAGATCGTGACGATCTCACCTTTTTTAATTGAGTTGAAGCTCTTTCCGTTTCTTTATCTCGAGGGCGTTTTTTCAAGGTTGTACGACGATTGTCGATGTTTTGTGTTGAATAAGATGAATCTCCAGACAGGTTGTTGAGTTGATTTATAGTCTTTACCTAATTGACAAAAATATTAATTTATACTTTTATCATACAGATTTTCAGACTAGAAGCCTACCTGTAAATTATCAATATTCGTGCGAGCGCAACTCAAATTTTTTATGAAATCGTTGTACGATGCAGTCCAATCCTTGAAAATCAAAATCTAAATTATTATACTTGCAAGAAACATTTCGTAATAAATGCTACAGTATATATTGAGCAAAAAAACTAGCTCTTATTTCGTTAAATCCAATGAGTTACCTTCCATCTATCCAAGATTCCTTGCGCTTTTCTTCTACGTATTATGTCGAACTCAGAAACGGAACTTGCCACCTTTATGAGATCTTTTTTAATTGAATCCAGTACATTCTTCCATTCTCCTTGCTTTGTTTTTGAGCGATAATACTCCACCAGCCTAATACAAGTCCAGTCTTCGACTTCAATGACATGATAAAAAGCCATTAAATCGGATGCCATTCTTAAATGGTGTGAGTTGAAAAATTTTTTATTATAATTGAGTCAGTCTGATACGATGATTTTCTGCGTGAATCTGTGAATTAATCAACATTACGATTCGCAAATTCTGGCCAAACTTAATTTTAGCCATGATTATAAATCTGAAATCAGGCCAAAATTTTGAAACACAGAAAATCATCGCGGTTGAATAAACTGCGTCACCCGTTATTTATCTCGTTTATCATGGAAATTTCACATGCTTACTAAAGATTATTTAACAAAAGAACTCAAAGAACTAATTGGTGATATTTCGCTCCGGACTCACATCCTAGTTTTAGAATTTATAATAATGTCAATATTAATGTCTGAACAGCAGTGCAAGCTGGGACTCTTAGTCTCCAGTCATGAACTCCTAGTTCCGCAAGCTGGGACTCTTAGTCTAATAAGGACGCTCTTAATTTGACATTAGCGCAAGCTGGACTCTTAGTCTACAGCTTAGCGGAAGCTGGACTCTTAGTCTACAGCTTTTCTTTAAATTTTTCCGAAGTACATGCAAATGGTTAAAAGAATAAAAACGCATTTATTTATTTGATGTATTGCGAAAACTTTTTTAATGAAGCGAAAGAAATATATGATACTATCAAAGAGGGAGGGAGTACGCGGATCCTAGGCCATTTAATGCGAGTCGCATCACATTATCTCTTTGCTCTCTCAGATTTTTGGAATATATCTATAGCTAATTTTTATGTCTATTTCTAACTACCTGATTCTCACCCCCACACTCTTTTAATACACTAGATTTTCGAAATAATTTATCCCACCCATTACAAAATTTTCGCCTATCTATATCACTCGTTTCACTCCCACCCAAGACTATGTAAAAGATTAAGTTCCGTAAGAGAACTTTTAAATGATATATTAATTTCGAACCTATAGAACCGGAGAATAGAAATAGGTATATGCCCATAATTTTTGATAAAAAATAAACGTTACACTTCATTTCATCCTTACCATGATATTTCATTTTTGTAGCATTCCATTCCGCCAAATATTTGAGAAAATGTTTTTTGGATCGAAAGATTGTTGCTTGATTTACTGCGCCAGATGTTTGAAATAAGACGTGATGAGAATCAGGCAAAGCCACAATTTTACTGCTGATTAGATATTACCCCATCACGGGGAATTATTTTTATATACTGCGCCAGACTTCGAGAATCAGGATACTAAGCCACAGCAATTTGATTAGACGCGTGTCAGCGATCCCGATTTTCTCAACGAATATTAAAAGGATCAAGAAAGGTAATATGTCCGTTTTATTTTTGAGCATCTATATAGGCGGGAAAATCGATTAATATCGTGATGACGTTCTTCCGGAATCTAGCCAATCAATAATCAACCCACCTTATTATTACTTTGCGGAATATACTCGTTTGATTGATTGTGGATATTAATGATGAATATAACGATAAGTTTGATTAGTTTCGTTTGTTATTTTTTGTTTTACTTGCACAAGGCGGATAAAAGAGTTCACTAACTAAGACTTCACCTTTTTATATAATTTGCAGGATCGATTTTGTTATACGCTTTTGGGGGAAATGAGCGCATCACGAAAATCTGATCAACGGACTCTCCTTAATATAATAATAAAAGAATTTAACGCTATCCATATGTAAAGATCATCAAGGGGTCCTTTACAATAATATACGTATATACGTAATAATTTTGAGAATATGCGAGAAAGTTTGAGAATAAAAATCCCTGGATCTTCGCCGACAATCTTATTGCTCAATAATTTCAGTCAGGGATTTTACCAAAAATGGATGATGTCGATCATTCCTTTTATGGTATAGAAATGTCGATCAGAAAGTTCTA